CTCCAACTAAGCTTCTTTGCATCCACTTAAAGAAAACATAGCAAGATCTGACAACTCCATTAAGTTTCTTCTTTTTGTCTGTTTTTCAGTCAAAAACTGGCTTTTCTGTTTCAGAAAGAAATCGTGCCTAACGGTTGCCTACTTTATGAACTTGAACAAAGAGAAGAGTACACTCAAAAAAAGACCAGTTATCAAACAGTCCTGGAGTGCCAGCTGCTGGTCATTTGAATGCACCCGAGTCACCAGAAATAAGGCGTGGGAGAGAGAGGGAGGAGGAAAAGGGCCGGCGACATGAAAAAGCAGGTGCAGAAGAGCTCCAGCAGGAATCACACCACCATCAGTCACGCCCTCGCCCATGCCAGTGCTCCACTGAGTTGAGTGACTTCTTCAGGGCGATTCTGGGTCTGCTTTTTTTTTTTTGGCTGCGTCAGGTCTTAGTTGGTCATGGTGGTGCATGGGCTTAGTTGCCCCCTGACATGGGGAATTTTAGTTCCCCGACCAGGGATTGAACCTGCGTCCTCTGCACTGCAAGGCAGATTCTCAAACGCTGAACCACCAGGGAAGTCCCTGGGTCTTCTGGTTTTAGCTCTGACATCAGAACTGAGTTGAGAAGTGTTCACATAAACCCTGTGCCTCTAACCCCCTCATCGTGAGCACAAGTCAGAAGGCTCCAGAGGAGGACCAAGTCTGCTTCTGATCAGGACTTGCAGCCACCTCGTTCCTCACCTCCTGTCCACACATGTGATCCGAGCACCCACTATGGACTGTGCATAGTCCTTGGGCAGAGGGATGAACAAGACACGTCATGGTCTCTGCCTTCATGGAACTTAAAGAGTCTTGGAAATAAAGAATTAATTGAGAAGAATTAAGGCAAATGCCAGGTGGCACTAGTGGTAAAGAACCGACCTGCCCATGCAGGAGACATGGGTTCCATCCCTGGGTTGCGAAGATCCCCTGGAGGAGGGCATGACAAGCCACTCCAGTGTTCTTGCCTGGAGAATCCCATGGACAGAGGGGCCTGGTGGGATACAGTCCATGGGGTCACAAAGAGTTGGACATGACTAAAGCAACTTAGCACACAAGGCAAGTAATGACCGTATCCCAGGGTGATTCCAGGAAAAGGGCAGGCTGCTCTGGGAATACACAACCAAGCAACACAGACCAGGGTAGGGTACAGATGATAGTCTGCTCAGCTGCTGCCCCATTTCTAGGATCTGAATGTCTGAGGCGGGGCGTGTGGTCTACTGTCTACCCAGCCGGCCCACAGTCTTATTCCTGGAAGCTTCACATTCACCCACCTGGCCCTTGAAGCACTTTGAACTGGCAACAACCTCAGTCTAGGGTTCAGGGGAAGCTTTTAGGTGGAAACGACATTTAAGCCGAGACTAGAAAACCAAATTAGGAGTTCCCCGGATTCGGGGCTGGGAAGGCTCTTCAAAGTAGAATGTGAGTGAAACAGCCAAGAACATGAGACCTGCAGGAAGTCAGAGCCCCTGGGTGTAGAGGGGGTGAAGCTGGGTGTGGAGGTGAGGCTGGGGCAATGGTTCACAGGGCCAGAAAGGAGAGTGAACTTGTTAGCCAAAACAGGTTTTGGTTTTTGTTTTTTTTAAGAAATAGAGACATTTCATAAAGACACTGGAGGTGTTTGTCTAGGGAAATGAGTGGGTAGCCTTTCCTTTCTCCAGGGCATCTTCCCAACCCAGGTCTCCCGCATTGCAGGTGGATTCTTCACCAGCTGAGCCACAAGGGAAGCCCAAGAATACTGGAGTGGGTAGCCTATCCCTTCTCCAGTGGATCTTCCCGACCTACGAATTGAACCGGGGTCTCCTGCATCAGATTCTTTACCAACTGAGCTATCAGGGAAGCCAGGAAAACGACAGTCATGCCAAAAAGTGCCCCTGTGATCGTGTGGAACTCGGCCGAGATGACAGGCAGTCCCGGGGGCCAGACCAAGGGGCAAAGGGCTCAGAGCTGCCTAAGGAAATAGACCTGATGGGGCTCAATGACGGACAGGATGCGGGGAGGGAGACAGAGTTGCAGTGGCCCTCGGATATGTGGCTGATCTAACAGGGTGGCTGGTGTCATGAACCGAGCTAGAGGTCACAGTGCGGACAGGAAGCGGGCAGAAGGTCAGCTCTGAAGCTGTGCTGGAGGCGCGACCCAGACCTCCAGGGGTCCAAGCTTGGGGTTCAGCAGGTCATGCGGATCTGGAGCTCAGGAGAGAGGGCCAGGCTGGGGGTGAAGACGTGGGTGTCAATGGTCCACAGTAGCAAAGAGGAACCAGGGCCTGGGATGGTTCCGGGAGGGGTGCCAAGGAGGTGCCCTGGGAGAGAATCCCAGCTTCTCAGGGATGGGCGAAGGGCAACATGGCCGCAAGAGACAAGACAGCACCTGCAGGAGGGTGCGGCCTGCAGGACTGGACACTCGAGAAGCCAAGCAGCACATGCCCCGGAGAGAGAAGTAACTGAGCAACAAGGAGGGCGGAGGTGACCTCGGCAAGACCACACACTGCAGAGGCGGACTCGCAAAAACGTCACTGGGAAGAGAGCCCTTGGGAAGGGAAGGGCTGAAGATGCAGATGAGAAAGATGGGGAGGGGTGTCCCTATAACCTGGGAGGGGGATCCAGAACACAGGTGGGTCACACGGGGGCCTGGCTTTGGTCAGGAGAAAGGGCTCCTCCACTCACCAAAAGGAGGGGGTTGGTGCTGCTTGGGGACACTGGGCAGGCCCAACGGCAACGGGCTGAGGGCGCTCTCACGGGCTGAGAGTCTCTTTCCAGTTCTGGAATGGCTCCTATACTCCAGTTATTTCTGATTGAGTGCTGAACTCCACATGTGAAAAACCGGAGCAAGGGTCTGAGGCTCTGGACGAAGTGACTTCCTCCAGTGAGGACTGCCTTAATTTTGCTTCTGGTTGGCAGGAGACCAGAGACACTGACAATCCCAAATTCCCTTCATTTAACTGGTGCTAAAATGCTTCGAACCAAGGCTTTAGACCCTATGAGGGCTGGCTGAACTCTGTATTACCCCTCACTCCTCAGCAATGGCCTTTCAAGCCTAGGGCGTTGACCAGGGTCCTTCCAGCTTGGCCCGTTCAATTTTTTGTCTCCAGTCCTGTGAATCTGGAAAGACCTCTGCTCAGAGTTTCAGCCAAACTTCTACCAAAACAAGCCAGACTACCATCACCAGAAAAAGAGTTCCATCTTTCACTAACATCAAAAACTTATGGCTTGGCTACCCATACTGTTCTATAAGACTTCCCCAACCCTGCAGAAGCAAAAGGAGCCTAGAGACCTGATTTTCACCTTATAGCCAGCAACTAGTTTTGTGACTCCTGGGCGTGACCTCCCAAGATGCCCTTATCCTCACATGTAAAATGCTTCTGGATCAGAATCTTTGATCATCTTCCTGCTCTAGAAGTTTCGCAGTCTCTAACATCCCTGCCCCTCCTACACTGGACAATCCCAGAATATACATTCTTCTTCTGTGGATCCATCAGTGCCTAGCCCAGCCACTGATCACAACTTTCCATTCTCAGAAGACCATCAAAATAAATGGACTTAAACTACCACAAGAGAGCGTCCCTGGTGGCTCAGTGGTAAAGAATCTGCCTGCCAATGCAGGAGATGTGGATTCGATCCCTGGGTCAGGAAGATAATCCTGGAGAAAGAAATGGCAACCACTCCAGTATTCTTGCCTGGGAAATCCCATGGATAGAAGAAGCTGGTGGGCTACAGTTCACAGGGTCACGAGAGTCAGACATGACATGGCAACTAAACCACCACCAGACTACAACAGCATGCATTTAGATGTGCAAACAAAGACATTCAGTTTCTAGAACTGTGCCCATTCACACAGAAAATCCTTATTATCTGCTGCCCTGGCTACTAAGTCATGCAAAGTTGATGAGGACACAATCAACGCCAAGGCAGAAGTCAGAGAGAAAAGCCCAACCCCGAAGAAGAAAGGAGTCAGTGGAGAGCATCATTGTGCCAAATGGCACGTGATACACAGACAAGTCTGAGTCACAGCAAATGATTTACATTGTTCTTTTTTAAAAAAGAAGGATGCTATGTGCTCAAGGCAAGAGAGCCTCAAATGTTGGCTTCTGGCTTTTTAGAAGCTAACATACCATGCTTTCCTTGGTGGATGAGAAGTCCCAAGATACACAAACATTCTACTTGTTTTCATGATGGACAAAAAGACCAGTGGTTGAAAATAATGACAAGCTGAAACAAAGTCCCACTTTCACAAGCACAGAGAAGACCCAGTAGAGCCATTTCATTATGCAGAGAACATTCTCCTGCGCAAACCTGGGGGCTCTGGCCCAAGCCCCACACTGCGAAGCCGCTCTGTGCCCTGCCCCCACGCTCCCCTGGCCACGGAGCTCCTGGCCTGCTCCTCTTCTCTGCAGGACACTGCTAAATCCTGGGCAGCAATCTTCCCTTCCCTGCAGCATGTGGACCCATCAGAAAGCAAAAGCGTGTCTGCCAAAAGCTGTGCTGCAACCAACACCCCCAGATGAATTTTTTCCTGGGCTTCTTGATGGTGGAGTAACACACAGGCTGGAAGCTACTCTCCTCTAGGCTGGTCCTTACTTTTTCCAAGAGGTCCTGCATGTGGTGGAATAGGAGCTGGTGGAAGCTCTGAGTCCCAGCTCTGCTGTTCTCTAACAAATCTCCTTGAGGCATAAAAAATGGCCTGAGAGCCTCCTATGGTTCAGACATCCCTGGGCATTAAGGGTAGAAAGGTGACTGAGACACATGAGGTGCCAGCCATTACAGAGCTAAAATCAGAGGGCCTCAGTTTCCCATCTGCTAAAGGAAGGTGCTGGATCTAGTCATTTTGGAGGTTCCTTCCAATTTTAACATGCTATGTCTTTACGATCTGAGTTACAGCCCTGGTTGGCCACAGGTGGCTGTGGACTGGTGCATCCGCTCCGGACCTCAGTTCCCACGCTGGCAAAGCAAAGAGGTGAGATCTACAATATCCCCTATTACCTTATGCAGACACAACGGAAGGTTTCCAGAATCGCCTTGCAAGTAGTCCTTCTGCTGGACAGCCGCCCAACAGTAAGAGTCCACAAAGGAAGCCTGACGCCATGAGAAAGAGCTGGGGGAGAAGCAGCTTATCTGGGTACCTAAGGAACAAGAACAGAGTGTTTCAAGTCAGGGTGAGTGCCGGTGTGCGGACCCTTCCCGCTGCACGCCTCCCCTCCCCGCCGGCCTCAGGCTCGCACGTGTTTGCTAAGTCACCAAGCACCGAGACAGGAGTAAGGCCAGCACCGAAACCAAGCATCCAAGTCTGCGGTAAAGCTGACTATTGTGAGCTTTCTGGCCAGCGCTCAACATGACAGCAGCTTGGGCTCAGTTGGGGAACAACTCTTGAAAGAAGAGACACCATCATAAAAAGGAAAAGTGAGGACTTCCCCGGTGGTCCAGTGGATGAGAAGCCTCCTGCCAATGAAGGGGACACAGGTTTGATCCCTGCTGCAGTAAGATTCCACAGGCCGCAGAGCAGCTAAGCCCAGGCGCCGCCACTACTGAAGCGCATGGAGCCTAGAGCCTGTGCTCCTCAGAAGAGGATACACCACAGTGCGAGGCCCACACACTGCAACTAGAGAGCACCCACGCGGCCACCAAGAGAACACTGATAAAGAAGGAAAAGTGAGCAGGAAAGGAACCAAAGCCAAACATGCATTAAGGAAACAGGCAGAGTGGGTTTAGTTTAGGGTGAGGATGTGGGGCGAGGGGACGGTCCCAGGTGCTGCTAGTGGTGAAGAACCCAGCTGCCAAATGCAGGAGATCTACGAGATGTGGGTTCAATCCCTGGGGTGGAAAGATCCCCTGGACAAGGGCATGAAACCCACTCCAGTGTTCCTGCCTGGAGTATCCCATGGACAGAGGAGCCTGGCAGGCTACAGTCCATAGGGTCGCACAGAGTCGGACACGATTGAAGCAACTTAGTCCATGGAGAGTGGGGAGTAGGGAAGGAACTACGTCTCCCGCGTTTCCCCAAGAAGGCTGCCGTTACTTACTGCCTGGTAGATTCCTCCTGACTCAGTACAGAAAATTGAACAGGAAAAGGAGTCCTTTTTACAACAAAGAAACAGTGAATGATCAACCTGAGGAAGAGACAGTTGGTGCAACATTTGGTAATACATCCCTGTACGGAAAATCAAGTTTTCCATCTCCTCTAAGCAAAAAGAAGGCTGAGGCCAGAACAGCAGCCCAAATGGTGTATGTTCAGAAGGCAGATGCTCCCAAGTGCCAACCCGCAGGCAGGGAGCAGGGCGTGGGGTGCGGACTGGGGAGCTGGAACCCCCGAGGCTCTCATAACTTGCTGCTCTTCTGTGAGGGGCTCTGGACCTCGTTCTCTCCTCTGCAAACAGAGGCCCACGTCTCCCCAAGACGGCTGCCGTTACTTACTGCCTGGCAGACTCCTCCTGACTCACAGGGGCCACTGTGGAAAATGCACCAATGAAACTTTGGGTGCAGGGCTGATGCCGCATCTCCCCTCCTCACCGGCAGGCAGAGGGCTGGCGCTGAGGCTCCACAGGCCCAGCAGCACCCCTCCACCCGCAGGGGCATAGGCACCAGCCCGGGGGGCAGAGGCTCCCCCTCCCTGTCGCACGGCTCTGATGATGCTGCACCTAAACCTGCTGCCACCGACAGCCGGGGACTCACCACTGACTTACAACTCCTGGGACATCCAAATGGGAGCAACATTAAACTCTGCGTCTGAAAAGAGGACCTGGTCTCTGACAGCCGCACGCTGAGTGCTACCTCTTCCGGTACAAAGTGGCCAGCAGGCTGTGTTACAGATTCAAGGACGGGAGGGGGTGCCCACCTCCTCCCTCCCCACCTTGCAGAGAGCACAGGACCGCAGGGAGACACTGGCTGGACGTCCCCGGTCCCTTTGTGAGGGACATGAACACCCACAAAGGGTCACCATCTGCTGGGGAGTCACTGTCGTGTCTGACTCTGTGACCCCACGGACTGCAGCCTGCAAGGCTCCTGTGTCCAAGGGATGTCCCAGGATACTGGGAGTGGGCTGGGTGCCCGACCCACGGGGAGGCCCTCCTCCAGGGGATCTTCCCAATGCAGGGACTGAACGCGGGTCTCCTGCATTGCAGGGAGCCAGCAGGGAAGCCTTTGGGGAGGGGCTGGCCTTCACTCTTGTGGCAGGAGAAGGCAGTGAGGGTGTTTAATCGCTACATCATGTCTGACTCTTTTGCTACCCCATGAACTTGCAGCGTGCCAGGCTCCGCTGTCCATGGGATTTCCCAGGCAAGAACACTGGAGTGAGTTGCCATTTCCTTATCCAGGGGATCTCCCTGGCCCAGGGATTGAACCCACATCTCCTGCCTTGGCAGGTGGAGTCTTTACCACTGAGCCACCTGGGAAGGCCCAAGATGTTGCCAAGTACTATGATAAATAGTTTCTCAATTAGTGGTGAGATACCAACTCTCACAGCTGAGGAAACAGAGTCCCTGACCCTCCAGCAGTGACCCTCCAGCCTGGACCCTGTGCTCTGCCTGCCTCTCTTTGCCACGTGTTGACTGAATGAAGACACTCTTGATTTCTAGGGGGCAGTGAGAGGGTAACAGGCAGGAAGGCCAGGGGTCTCCAAAGGGAGGAAATAGGCTGCAAGTGTCAGACATTTTTATCTCTCTTAAGCAGCAGGAGGAAACAAACTAGCAGTATTTTTTTTCCTTCTCTATACAAATTTAAAAGGAGGGTTCTCTTAAAATGCTGTGTTGCCACGACACCTGGTTTCACCCGAAGCAAACTATTCTCAAACCTTGAGTTAACCAATACATTTTTCTTATGGAAATGTTTTGTCTTAAAGCTATGTTAATGTGCTAAGCATTTACCCCAGACTCTAAGTTCCTCCAAATGGCTCAAACTACTTGACAAACCAGTGTGTTATACTCAGATATTGTTCCCCTAATCTATGTAAACGAAACTATTTGTGTGGTAATCTGCCCTTCTACAAGATTCAAGTCAATCGTTTTATGGCCTGGGATGAATTATCTGGTGCCAAAATTATCACTAAATGCAACTTATGGATAAGGGGCCTGGTGTCACTCTGAATTTTAAGACATTCCTTTCTTTTCATTAACAGACTGCGAGTGACTACATAACATACAGCTGAAGACTAAAAGCGGAGTACTCTTTCTGCCCCCTTCTGATGCCTATGTCAGAAGCTTCCTCTATCTCCTTTGTACTTTAATAAAACTTTATTACACAAAAGCTATGAGCAATCCAGCCTCGTCTCCGGCACCGGATTGAATTCGTCTCCTCTGGAGGCCAAGAATCCCGGCGTCTTATCGTTCAGCAATAACTTTTCAGTAGCTTCGTGAGATCTGCCCTCCTTTCACACTGTACGGAAATCAAGAAAAGGGTGTCCAGTTTACACCAGGAACACCACCACCATGTCCGTCCGGCTGAGAGTGTACACAGAGCTCTGGGCTTTCCATCTGAATCTGGCCAGAGAGGATGAAAGGCCACAGGCAGGAAACATGCACTCCCAGGACCCCATGGTGGCAGGTTCAGCATCTGCTAACAAGAGACTCGCATCACACCATCCCCTGCCCACGCTGCAGGCCCCTGACTGGAGCCCAGGGCGCAGGTCACGGCTTCTCTCTGAGTGACATGTTTCTGAACTGCCAAGGCCTGTTTCTGAGCTGCAGACACAGTCACTGCACAACCAGAGGGCTTCCCAGCCCAAGGGGAGCCAGGACGGGAGCAGGGAGGCGGGCCAGCCCGTGCAGCTTTCCCGTAGGACCATCGTCAGCGAACGCCAGGCTAGTGCAGGTCACTCTGTGCCTGGTCCACCTCCCTCAGAGGCGGGACTTCGCTGTCCCTCTTTTTCTTGATAAGCTTTCTTTCCATTCTTCTCATTGCTAGCATCTGACGGGCTGTGAGTCCTGGGCAAGCCCTCAGCATCTTCTGACAAACACACGTCCACCCTCCCTCCCCAGGTGCTCTGTGGGAATTCTGCATTGCTTCCCCATTTTAAGGCTACATGGACCTGAGGGTGACGCAAGAACTGGGCTTCCTGGAAAGTCGATGAAACTCACCAAAACCACAGGGTGAACAAAGCACCAAGGCAAAGAGCTGGCTGACTGTCTGGGAGGACTTCAGAGGAACCTGCAAACAGAAGAGACTCTGAACTGGTCACCAGCACAGTGAAGAGATGAGGGGCAGCAAAAAGCAAGAAGGGAGCTCTTTCCGTGCTGAGGACTTTGACCCTATTTTAAAGATGAGGAAAGTGAGGCCCTGAGATCTCATGACTAGTCAGCTGTAGAGTTGGCATATCAACAGGGTTTCCATCTTTATCTTCCAAACACAAGAAAGAAAAGGCAAAAAGCACGGGTTATTGAAGAAACTTGAATCAGAGAAGGTCAAAACAGAGGCAGGGAGACAGGAGACTTTCTTTGAAGAAAACAGGAAGTCCTGGGTTTGCTGTCCTGGGAAGCAGGAAAACAGATTCTAATGGTATCAATTACACTCATTACTATTGATATAGTGCTTTAAAAGTTTGCAAAGTGTTTTAATTTTGCAAAACAACAAAAAAAAGGTTCTAATAGACTTTAATATAAATTATATACATACACACATCATTCACACACACACACACACACACACACTCACACACGGGGTCCAGGTAGGTCATAATACAACCTGTGAAGCACTGACTGGACTTGAAAGTTCTTGCTATATTTTAAGGTTGCCCAAAAAAGTTGCCCAAAAGTTTATTTTATTATAAACTCTCAGTTTCAATGAGAATAACCACATAGAAAGGGACCCTGGTTGTGTGTTAGAGAAAGAGATGGGCGGTGGTCAGCACTGAAAAAATAAACACGAAATAGTAACAAGCTCTCCTAAGAATGAAACAGGTCTGAATCTGTCTCAGTACATTTGACACCAACCTAAGACCAAAGGAAGTCTGCCCCAAAGGATCCTTTCTTGCCAAATACTCAGAGATCCCAACCATGATAACAGAAAGTAAAATTCCAAGAATTTCAGGATTACTCCTATCTCTAAAAAAGAACCAAATTCCTCCCCTTTAACCTCTCCAGCCGACTTCACCCCAAACCCACCTCTAGCTTCAAACACAAGCAAAGAAATGAAT